CTTTTGACCTTAATGAAATCTGAGCATGTGGTTACAAAATAATGCAAATGACTTTTAACAGGCACACCCCAATGTATGTCTGGGAGAGTGGGGTCTCCTTCAAGAAAAATGCAAAGATGTTGTAAACACAGGCAGCAAAGCAGGACTAAACAAGGGGCCTGCCGCCCATGTTTGAAAGACAACACTCAGTTGGAAGTATAATTCATGGTAACAATCCTTGAAAACATACTTTGCCTTGTATTTTTAATAATCACCTTTATGACCGTGGTTACTCATTTCCATGAGAAAAATAGGTGTTTCCATTGTCATTCCTGATCATGTAAAGATTGTGAGATCTGGAAACAAACTGTGTTTGAATCCCAGATCTGTCATTTCCTGGGTACCTGACTTGGTACCTCAGCTTCCCTGTCTGTATAATAAGGATAATGATAGGATTTTATAAGATTATTGTGAGATTAAATGATGTCATTTATGTAGAGTACTTTAGGATTGTGGCTGGCCCATAACAGGTATTATATAAGCATTAGCTGCTGTTGCGGCTACTACTACTACTACTACTATTACTACTACTACTACTATTACTATATTATTGTTACTGTCATTAGTGTTATAGTCATAATCTCAACAGAGTATCTGAATATAAACCGAATGAAGAAGATGAAAATTTCCAGTCTTTCAATACCTGTGCTTTATCCCCAGTAAAACAAATTAAACAACTGCATACATAAAGGTGCACTGTTAGCTCCATAAATACACAAAAGTATCATTTTAAAAAAAATGATTGGTTTTTATAACCATCAGATCAATAGTGTATGCAGGGAAAATAAATATTTTAAATCTAAAGTATGATTAATTCACATCTGAACAGAGATCAGCTTATATAGAAAACAAAGCATAACTGAAAGTTAAATTTGCTTTTTCACTGAAAGAAAAAAATCACCAAAACTATGAGTATAGATTACTTATTGTAAGGTAGGTTTCACATGGTTGCCGCATTTGGCATTACAACTTTCTCTACAGATTCACAACCTCATTTTCTAACCACCTCGAGCTATCTATATACCAATAAATGTTGGTGTGATCATGTATCAGTTAGTGAAGCAGACTGTATTACTGGCCCCAGTTTTTCACCCCTCTCTCTTTCCCCCTGCCCATTACCAGGTGACTTTGTACTTCCTCCCCAAAGGTCAAGTCTACTTTCTCACCTCTTGACTTTGGGGTTAATCATAAGATTTGCTTTGGCCAACAGCATGAAGCAGTAATGAGCCAGTAACAACCCTAGGCCTCAAGAAGCCAAGCATGTTTTTGCCTCTACCACTTAAAAATAAATAAATAAATAAATAAATAAATAAATAAATAAATAAATAAAAATATCCTGACTATGCTAGCTTTCTAGTCTCAAAGGACCCAAGGAAATGAGACCCAAGGAATGGAGCAGCACCAGTAAGCAGCCTCAACCAAGTCCAGACTCAAATCTCAAATACACCTCTGGTTTATCTTCAGAAGAATGAACAGGCTGGCTGACTCCCAGTAGGCTCATGAACAAGCTCAGGAGATATCAAGAAAGCAGCCCAGCAAAGCTAAGTCTGATCAACTGACCTTAACCGACCCTTAGGCTATAGTCATAAATTACTTATTTTTAATAAGCTATTGGATTTGGGGGTGTTTTGTTACATAGCAAAAACTGACTCATATAGTTAGAATATTTTCCATTTTAAGTAAAATAAAATGACCCTAACTACCTTAGCATTTAAAAAATGTATGGTTTCACCAAACTGAGAAGGCCAGTGATAGCTCTGGCTTCAGGTATAGTTTGACCAAAAGGTTCAGCATGTCCTCTGAAAATCCCTACAAATTTCTCTGTAGTCTCTGGGCACTAGACTTTTCTATGTATGAGCTTTGTCTCAGACAAAACCACTCACTTGGAACAAAAATGGCAGAAATTCTGAGCCACTATTTGCACACTTAACCTTCATATTTCATCTTGAAGCAAGAGAGATGAAGAATGCCTTTATCCCAGTACTGCAAACAAAAGTCCTGAAATTTGCTCTGATAGGACTATCTTAGATCCCTGTTTGTTCCTGAATCATTCAGTGTGGCTGGGGGAAGAAATGATCTGATTGACTCTTCCTAAGTTGTGGGTTCCAAACGTAAAGTCAAATTTACCAGATTCCATGAATTTATTCCAGTGCCAAGGACTGCTGGGAAGGGGAAGAAGAAAATAAATATGGGAGAAGCGACTAGCAATACACACAGCACACGTTCTGTTTTGTGGTGTATTAGCACATCTTTCTCACATTGGGTCTCAGATATTCAAAGACTCAGATTGTTACCCCTGCCAAATACTCTCTCATTAATGGCAATAAATGCTACTTATTTGAATTAACCATATATACTGAGAGGTATAAAGATTTTTTTAGATAAATAAAAATGTTAAAAGACAAGAAAACAAAAGAAGTTATAATGCCACCATTGATCCCCCAGTAACTAGAAAGAGCTTCTCTTTGAAATCTCAGTACCACCTGCTTTGCATCTGCTCGACCAACTGAGAAATGCAGGTCTGGCAAAGAGAGAAAATCCATTTTAAGTAGATCTGTGACAATACAGGGCGAGAAGGTCTTGAAATCCACCAAGGGTTTTAATCAATAAGACTGACAGCACAGAGCATGCCAGAAGCCAGGAAAAGAAGAGTTTGCAAAAAGCATTCAAGACACAGCCCGAACTCTAAGGTTCTGGTGACAAACCAGGGCCAGTGAGGCAGAGGCACATACCACGATCTTTCTCTTCTGATCTAAGGAAAGGCGAGAGAGGAAAGGGCTGATTAGCTCAGGGAGGGAGGGTTTTTGTTCTGTTCTTTTCCATTCCAACTTTCCAAATCAGGGGGGAATTCTAAAACCCATTGTCTGATTTCAAAAGTTGGGTCTGAAAAACACGACAAGCTCTTTTTTTTGTTACCTAATTCTCAGCTGTAAACCGAAGCTCTTCGAGTGTGCATGCTTCATAAAAGGCAAAGGGACTTAATTGAATTTTGCATGCCGCTTCTAAGTGGATTGCTAGGGTATACCAGGATTAATTAGTTTCGTGTTGTTAATTCAATTCAAAGGTTGCTGATAAACTAAGACCATCAAACTCCATTAGGAGAAACAAAAACTGCTTAATTATGACAGCATCTTTGGGGTTGTGGATAAGTTTTATCAGTATGCTAAAGTTTCATCCTGGGTTTTTAGGATTTGTGAAGAATCCATGGTAGTGGACCAGAGAGACCTCAATGATTAAAGCACTTTTCACCAAATTGTTAACTTTCCAAATCTGGTAACTTTAAAAGAAATTAATCCTTGATTTCAATGGCTCTTTCTGCTCTTTTGAATGTAAAATTTCGTTTGTGGAAAAATAACTCTCAGAGAATGAGAGTTCTCTAGCCTATTTGCATGTCTGCATGTAAAATGTACAAGATTGTAGATTTGGATTTTGCTCTGTCTCCCTACGTGAAACCTTCACTGCGTTGTCACAATCACAGTACCACGATCCCTTATGTATGAAAAAAGTCTTTTTATCAATTACATATTTTATTTTGTGTAGAGAATGTTGGAAGTACGATTAGCAACACTGTCTTACAAATAACCGTCTCTCCAGCCTTACCCCTAGCTAAACTTCACCTCTCTATGAACGCACCTAGGAGAGCATGCTTGCACACGGGAGCACACACACTCATTGCCTTACCATTTGGTTTAGATGCACATGAATACTGCAGTTCAGAATCCAGCCAACTTTCTTTGCAGCTTGTTATACTGGATCCCTCCAACATCTTTCCACATTTAGTACAAGACACTTCTCTGCTTCTGGAACACTCCCCCAGGTATGTGCATGTGTGTGCACACACACAGAGATGCAAGAGACACCCCAAAGGCACAGACATGTGCACACATACACGTGCACACATACACATACACATGCACACACTTCTACTAATTGCTCCTCAGCTTTTAGTGTACCCCCTTCACCTCACCTAGGACATCATCTTTGATCCCCAAGACTAGGCTGAATATCACTCCTCTGGGCCACTCCAGCACGAACATTTAGCACTAATGTTGCAACTGACACACTGTAATAGGCTGTAAATTTATCAGTGACTCTTACCCAGAAATTAAGCTCCTGAATGACGGGGACTATACCTTACTCATGGTGGTATCCGTACAGTACAACACATGGCACACTGAAGAAATTCCATCAGCATTTTTTGAATAAATGAATAAAGGCCAGAATGATTCCAAAATTAGCTGCAGAATCCCTTTTAGATATTATTCCATTCTAGGTCATTTTATTAATGACCTCTTTACTTCTACCCACCAGTCTGGCATCTCTACAGACTGATTAACCTCTAGCAACTCCTCTAGGAGAGACTTGCTGGTGCCTCCCAAATTCCTCCCTTTGCTTTTGTAAAAGAACACTAGAGTTTTAGCAGAGAATACTGAAATAAGGGAGGGGCCAGGGAGACATTTCCCATACTCCAGTTAAACTGATTGTTTGAATAATAATGGTCGTTGAAATGTAAACATAAATACTATATGGGAATTCTGGGGAGTATTCTTAAAAGGAAAATACATACCCTCCTTCAATACTTCCTCCTTCTTGTTGCTTCAGATGGTGGAAGCAGCGGCTGGTTCTCTAGCAGCCATATTGGACATGAGACAGTATGTTATAGAAGGAGGCTGTTCTCCTGAGTTTTCTGGAGTCCCCATCCCAGCCACACCACACTTACAACTTACTGCCAGACTTCTTTTATATGAGAAAAAAAAAATCTCAGTAAAGTAAGCATTATTTCAGCTTTTAAAAAAAATATAATAGCTAGGTCTAATCCTAAATACTATAACCAATGCAACAAGAGAATTTCTATATCTAAGTCTTAGAGGGCCATTCCCTGTCTTTGCCCTGAGTAAGCCATGGAATCAGAGAAATCAATATCCAGTCTGGCTAGGAATTTTTTTGATATAGCTGTAAACTAACCTTTCCCCAGACTATATATCCTCTTATCTTCAGTAAAACTCTAAATTAGCCAATTTTCCACCCTCCCACTTTTTTTTTCCAGCACATATGGTTGCAGATGACTCAAAGACTTTTCTGAGATAACATACTTGTAGTTTTTCCCAAGTCCTAAAATTTTAGACCAGTGTTTCTCAAAGGATTGTCCCAGACCTGCCTCAAAATCTTCTGGGATTATTATTGTTAACAGAGAGTCCTGGCCTTAAACTAAAAACACTCAGTCATGACCGCTGGACACAGATTGTCTATATATATTTTTTTTAAGTTGCCCATGTGATTGTGAGACATAAAATAGTCTGACAAACCACTATCTTCTAAGAGACACTACAGAGAATTCTTGTTACCTTCAAAATCTCAATTCAGAGGGCTTCTCTTCCTCTACAGAGACCCAGGCTACCTCCCACCCATCTTGCCAAAATTAGAGCTTCAGAAATTCTACTGTTTTGCTACCCCAACTGTGGGCCATGGACCAGTGGTATACACATCCCTTGTTAACAGTGACAGTCTTGGACCTCACCCCAGGCCTACCAAACCAGAATCTGCATCTAACCAAATGTCCAGGTGCTTCATAAGCAAGTTAGTGATTGGGAAGTGCTGAGCTCCTGGGCAGTGCCTTTTCTTGAAATACATCAGAGCCTTCATCCATTCCCATCATTTGGCTACAGGCTACAACATATATTATTCACAAACCTGCTGCTTGCTGAGGCCAGTGGTACAACTGTTCACTGAGCATCTACTGAGCACCATAGACAAAAGTGTAGGAAGATGTCTAAAGGTGAATATTATGTGACAACTTGGCTAGCATACATTACCCAGATAATTTGGTCAATTACTAATCTAGATAATGCTATGAAGGCACCTTTTAGGTGAGATTAGCATTTAAGTCAAGATTCTGAGTAAAGCAGATTACCCTCCATAATATGTATGGGCCTCAACCAGTCAGTTGAAGACCTTAAGAGCAAAAAGATTGGCCTCCCCTAAGAAAGACAGAATACTCCCAGCAGCTATTCTCCAGCCCTGACATCCTACCCTGAAGATTGTGGACTTGCTATCTTCCCTGATTGCATGAGCCAATTTCTTAAAATAAATAAATCTCTCCCCCTCACTCTCTCTCTCTCTATATATACGTGTGTATATGCATATATGTATATACCACATATATATAACATATATTGTATACAGTCTCTTGTATATGTATAATATACATATCCCTCCATATTTATTGATAATATTTAAATATACTTATTAAATATATCTAATATCTATAAATATTAATACAATTATATTTAATATATAATATTAAGTGTATTTATGTAAATGTATAAATATTTATCATACACACATATTTTAGTGGTTCTGTTTCCCTGGAGAACCTTAATACAATATATTTGTATTATATATCCAATACACTAGTCAATATGTTGACTAATACAATATATTTGTTTCAAATTCTTTGCAAATCTCCTTTACATCGATTCATCCATCTCATCAGATTCTTCCATTTTTCCCTGTTACCTATGAAATAAATCCCAAACTCCTTAGCATATTTTTTAATACTTCCAAGGTCTCATCCCCACAAGTGCACATTTCTGCCTCGTCAGGCTACTCTCTGGTTTTTAGATGAGCTTTTCTGTCTCTGTTCGTTCTTTCTCTCCTCGGCTTCCTTCTCATCTCTGATGCTTATCTCATATGACCCATTTTCACTTACTGAATATGAACATATAAACATTCGTTGATTATTGAATAAAACCTTCCCATTCCCAGGATCTCTTGCCATTAATTAATTAATGACAATTAGTGATTATTCCCTGAAATACCCTTGAACAATTATTTCATTTCATATGAAATATGTTGCAGTTGGTTAAATGTACAGGAATCTCACTAGACACTGAGCCCCTTGAGGGCAGGAAATATGTTTTTATTACACATCTTACTTTTTGCATGTATTCCTTTCAGTTTCTTAGTAAAATTTATTGAATGAATATAAAATCATTGTATGTTTGATATATACTTTATTACTGACATTTTTAATATATTATGAATATTAAGTGGAGAAGGGGAATACATTTGCTTTTTTTTTTTTTTTTTGACTTTGCAATACAAATAACTCCAAAACTAAAAGACAAACTCCCCACTCTCAGAGGTTACTGTTTTATGGGATACCTGAAATAGCACTCCCTTTCCTTACTCTGTCCTTTAACTCTGCCTTATTCTTCTTTGTAGCTCATGTTACCACCTGACACTTTACTTATGTATGGTTTTGTTTATCACCTGTCTTCCTCCTCTAGAATATAAGCTCTATGGACTTTGTTAATACTTAATAAATACATATTGAATGAATTCATTTATCTCTGAGCATCAACATGTGGTCAAGACAGGAGTGCTTATCCACTAAAAATAACAAAAATATTTACATACTCACGATGGAAGGAGCTGGATGCACTGCCTTGCTGTAGAATGGTGAACAATCAGTCTTGTTGGTTTTGTCTTTGTCTTGGGTAATGTGAGAAGCTGACCGAGGTTAAAGATTCTCCAAGTAATTTTTAGCAGCAGTCTGGAAATCAAACGTTATACAAACCATGGTCACCCTGCTCTGCCCAGAAGAAGGGTCACTTTTTCTAAGTTGCACAAAGTCTTCCTATGGACTAGAGGTAATACTGCATGGAAGACGAATACATAATGCAGGTGAGAACTGTATAGCTTTGATTAAATCAGGAACAGAACCCTCTCCTCTGGCCTCATCATTCCCCTGTGGTCCCTAAGGCATCTTTGGGGAAACAGGAGTTCCTGAAAAGCACTTTGAAAACCACACTAATCGATGCATCTGGGGAGACTTCCAGCGTCAAGCATCATTAATCAGGTGGGACTTTTAGTCTGAAAACAACTGAGGCTTAAAGAGGTGTGAAGTTTTGATAGAAGCTGACTGGCACTGATTTCATAGAGATACAAGAGGAAGGAACCTGACAGTTAGCATCTGTAAGCATTTAGATTATAATGGAACCAGGGGCAATAAGCAGCCTGGATTTTAAGATTGAATCAAACTGGGCAAACCTAATTGCTTTTTTTTTCCCCCTTTTTTTAAAAGGGAGTGGGAATTGCATGATTAATAAAAGAGAGGAGAAAATGAAGATGTAACATAACCTAATTTTGGTAAAGCACTTAATACAGTATCTAATAAAGTTTTACTTGCAAAATGAATTCAAATTGGATTGGATTTGAAATCTGGCATTCTATACTGGCTGAAAGCTGAGGGCTGGTGACATAGAAACCAAGGATAGAGGTGACGTATGACATTACAGAGGTGTCTGGTAGCCCTGCCCCAGGAATCAATGAAGCTCTAGAGTTAGTTAACAGCTTCATTAATGATCTGTATGATGAGACAAAAGACCATCTTAACAAATGTTATTGAAGAAACTGTGGGGAGATGCTGTGAATTCCAGTCTCAGCTGAGAGGTGTGCAATAAGAAAATAAATATGCAGAAACAACTGGAAAGAAACTTCTTAGAAGCCGATACTTGAGGGGAAAACAGTTTGCAAGATTTTGACAAAATGCATTTCTTTAGTTTTATAAAATAGCATTCTTAGAGATTTGAGTAAAACAAACATTTAACCCAACCATGAAATTAAATGCTAGTCTAGATGCCTAAGACAATCTGTTCCCCAACAAAACTAAAATATAAATAAATAACCACATGGCATTAAAAAGTAGCAGCTAGAGAAAAGTCATATTTTTTTCTTCTAAATGTTTCTTTTTCTCTTGGAGTATTAGTGAGAGAATGAATGCAAGGAACAACAGAAAGGGATTTGATTTTTTTTAAAGGGGAGGAGGAGATGACATCAGCAGACAGAGGCCATATTTGTAAATCCCACCACCCCACCCCCCAGATAAGAAGGACTCTATGTTTTTCTAGAACTAAGATTAAAAAGAAAAAAAGAAAGAAAGAAAGAAAGAAAGAAAGAAAGAAAGAAAGAAAGGTGAACTCTGATCATTCACATGATCTCAAAAGCCAGTATGTCCCTTCCATTCTTACTCCCCTCCTCTGCCCCAAAGTATAGAGAAGAAGCCAAAACATACTCCATGATTAAAGTCATTCATTTGGCTTGTCATTTCTATGTAACAGGATGAAAAGCAGAATCTTAACCGTAGGAAGCACACATTATAGTAGCGAGAAAGCCAAACACATTAATATTGAAAGAAACAAGTGCTCAAATCCAATGTGGGTTAAGAACATGGGTAAATTCAGGAAAATCATGGAGAAGGAAGCATTTGTAACTTAAAGACTCAATAAGCATTTACTGGGGGTCAATGAGATCACAGAATGGTGGAGGGGTGGCAGCATTAGAAAGCAATGGGTAAAAATAGTAGAAGGCACAAATCCCTGACCAACCTTAGAAGCTATTCAAAGAAGTTTCACTTTTATCCCATCTGTATTGGGAAACCAGTACAGGGAGAATTCCAGGTCAGAGGATGGCATGGTTGAATGTATATGTCAATGAGATCATTCTGGCATCCAGAGTATTGTAATAGTTTCCTCCTAAGAGTTTCCCTTCCTGTCCTTCTCTTCTTACAGTCCAGCCTTAACAGTGCAGCCAGACTCATCCTGGTAAAATGTAACTCAGGTCATAACTTCTGTTCAAAATCACCAAATGCATCCTATCTCAGAGAAACAGAAGTCCCAGTTCTTGCTATGACCTATGAGATTCTGCATGATCTGGCCCCTGTGAGCTCTTAACCTCTTCTGCTACTGCTCTCCCTTGTCTTCTCCACTCCATTCCAACCACAGAAAAGCACCAGAGTATACCTCTGCCTACTCTTTTCTTCTAAGCACACCTGTCTCCCAGATACTTGCACTGAACAGCATTAGTCCTTTCAAGGCCCTGCCCACATGCCACATTTGCAGTAAGACTATCCCTAACCACAGTACCTAAAATTTCATCTCCGTCTCCCCGATACTTATATCCCTTTCCTCACTTTATCTTATTAACATTTATCATTTTCTCATATATTATGATAAGATCCACAAGGGCAGGAAATCTTGTCTATTTTGTTCCTGTCCTCAGAACAGTTCCTGCTAATACTAAATCCTCAATAAATATTTATTGAATAAATGAATGAATGAGAAAACTACTGAAACGTAAATCCTGTAGGATTGAAAATAGGAGGCTATGGCAGTTGTGAAGAAGCCTTAAATAAGGGCAATCACAGGGCAGATAGAAAAGTGAAAATGGGGACAGGAGATACTTAGGGTACAGAATCAGTAGAAATTGAATTAGTGGGGATTAAGACGCCAGGAAGGATTCAGGAAGAATGGCTCCCAGGTTTCTGGTTAAAGCAACCATGGAGATGGTAATTCTATTTCCCTAAATAGGGAACATGGTAGAGCAGGAAAGAAAGAAAGGGAGAAGACAATAGATTCAGGTTTTGACATGTTGAGTTCCAAATGTCTAATGTAAATTTGCCTGGATCTAACAGTTTACTGTGGGATGTTCCATGTCTTGGTAAGAGAATATGAAGTAAAGGTCTTTGTTTCCCTCCAGGGTTTTCTCTATGCAGATGAAATTCCAAATTTCAAATGAAAAGCTACTCTGCTTCCCTGTAGTGAGCTCTGAGTTGTAGAAAGTAGCAAAACCACCCAGAGCACCAGACAGAAGGTCCAACTGGGAAAGGGTAGTGAAGGCAGGTGAGAAGGCAAAGTGCCTGAGTAACAGGTACAAAGAGCCCTAGCCGACCCTTAGGTATTCATGCAATAAGCTTGGGGAGGAGGCTGTGCTGTAGACCAGGGACTTAGGTAGCCAGTGGAGCAGCCCAGAGGATAGAGACTTACCGCCTTCCCTGGAAACACAACAGTCTAGTCATGTGTCTCTGAATCAGGGCTCTGTTTCTTTCACTTATGTTCACATGCACTAAGGTAGAAGAAACCTGGTCCTTAGGACTGAAATAAATTTCTATGTAGAGATGCTTCTAAAACTGTAGTTTCAATCTTATGAGGGAACAAATAAGTGCTACCATCATTCCAAGTGAACTAAAAATGAGTTGAACGAATTTTAAGAAATATATCACCAATGGTGCCATACATACACATACATGTGTTCACAGAAGAGCCACTGAATCAATTAGGGGCTTCATCATGAAGGCATATGAAAAAACCATACAACTTCTGTACAATTTGTTTTTTCCTGATATATCAACATTTTCATCAAAAGACACCAAATAAATATGCTATAAGAAAGGATATCTTGACACTATGGTTCCAGGCAAAGATATGCCTACTCATTTACTTGACTCATGGTTCCTAGTCAGAGAACATCATATGAATTGAGTTTGTACTGTGTGCTGTATTTGGATATACCCCCAAACACTTTTCTTTATGTTCATATACCAAGTGAGAAACATGAATAGACAGCATTTTCTGGCTTTCTGCTGTGTTTCTACGTATGTTGAAGTGCTCTTAGGTTTAGCTTGATTTTACCCCAAAGTTTTGGGTGTGCTATCACTTTATTTTCACATGCAGCTGGAGAGTAAGACAGATGACCATCTGACTCTTCATCACCTTCCACAGGATGATGTCCTGACACACCAATCCATCTTCTCTCTTCCCTATGAGTAACCTTCATTACAATCAAATTGCATTACATTTCCTGTTTTGAGTGACATTTATTTGCTTTCAAGTTGTTATTAGTTGTAGAAACTTATTTATGTTGTTCAAAATGATAAGATTTTTCTACCTGTGAATAATGTTTGGGTATTTGGGGTTGGGTGGCATGTATCACAACTTTTTCAATTAAAATTAATAGAAAAAATGTTTTTAGTTAATAGCTTTTCACATACTGGCAAGGTTTTCAAAACAAAATCATTAAATGAGGGAGCAGGAGATTCTGTTTTATCCTTCTAGTATTCCTTTTTTGCAAATAACCACTTCTAATTAAATAAAACAATACTAACAATCTGGTCCTTGTTTCTTGGTTTGGCTTGGTTTTTGTTTGTTTTAATGAAAACTACCAATTGATTCCTCCTCAAGATGCCTCTTTTTGCAGGTAGTTAGGTCTCACTTGAAAACTCCTGCTTACCTGCCCCAGAGTTAGGCCTCTGAATTCTTCTTCCCTTGCTAGGGGGACCAAAGCAGCAGGGAAATGATAACAGGCCTAACCATGCCCTTCTGGATTGTCTGCAGATTCAATTTTCTCCAAGAAATCCAGTCCCCAGTGAAGCTGAGTGACAGGAAAGCCTTGCCAAGATGCCAGACTCTCAAGAATGCTAGGGCAAATAATGACTGACAGCGGGAGGCCAGCTAGAGGAGGGGAAACAGAATGGGAGGGGGAAGGAGAGGGAATGAGTTAGTTGAGCTGTGCAGCAGGAGGGTAGAAGGGAGGACAAGGAGTAACATCGGGAAGGGAACATGTATAGACCATATACGTGCGCATGCTCACACACACGTGCATACACACACATGCAGACCACAAGCAGGAAAGCACTAAAGGAACCACGTATATGGGAAACCACAACATCCTCCATTCAGATTCTTCTGCCCTCGTTAATGCATAGTGTTCCCCAAAATTTGCCAGGGCACAATTTTATACTCAGGTTCACACTAAGGCCCCTGAGACAGTATAAAAATTAATCTTGACCTGCATCGTTTCTGGAATGAATTTTCATAGGTTTTTCATCTCATTGGATCCCTAAATCATATCACTTGAATACTAAGCCCATTTAAAAAAAAAAAAAAAAAAGGTCTGTAAGCTCCCTCAAATCCTCAAAATGGCACATAACAGCTCTAATGTATGAGTTTTGCAAACAAGATTTCTTTTACATGGACTCTAACTCTTACTCAAATGGTTCTGAGGAAAGAAATACTACATCCTCTCAAATTTGATTAAGGGTGACATGAGGGCTAAATGGGTTTTCTTTTGGATTCTGACATGATAGTCACAGAAAGACAAACATAGGCCAGTGTTACTAAAGGGTGGATCTCCTCACACCTCATCTTGCCTGGAAATTACTATTAATAGCAAAGAAATAAATTCTATAATAGACAAATCTACACTATTAGTGGTGGCCTTAATGTAGTTTACACTTCACTAAAATCTAATAGAAGAGCTTATCAATAATATATACATTTGAAAATCATTAAAATCACTAAAAACAGCTAAAAGTCCTTATTTTTTCCAACTTCATATTATGAAAAATTTCAAACATATGGAGTATGTTTAAGAAGTAGGTCCAATGAATATAACTGTCACCTGAAGTCAACATTTATATTCTTCATATTTGCTTTATCTATAAATATATGTGTATATACATACTTTTGGGGTTTTTTCCTAGATCATTCGAAAGTAAATTGCAGATGATATAATACATTATCCATAAATACTTCAATGTGAAGCCCCTAAAAAGTACATTCTTCTACATAAACATAATTTTACTATCACACCTAAGAAAATCACAGTAATTCCATAATATCGTCTATGGCCCAGTGCATATTTAATTTTCCTATCATGCTCAATATGGCTTTAAAGATTTTTTTTTACATGGATTATCAAGGTTCTCACATTGCATTTGTTCTGTCCCTTTGGTTCCTTTATCCTGCAGCAATCCACCAATCTATGTGTTCCTCATGACACTGACTTTTTGAAGAGATATCAACATTTCTATGATAGATGGTTCCACATCCTAGATTTGACTTAATATTTTCTCATAGCATTAACTTGCTTCTCTATTCCCTTCACTTGTTATAAACTGGAACTTTGATCTAAACACTGATTAGGCTTAGGTTAACTATTTGGGGCGAGAGAATTTATAGGAAATGCTGTGTCTTCAGACTCCATCACAGCAGAGACACGTAAGTTAGGTTGTCCTAGTGTTATTAATAAGAGTATGTGTATCATCCCTGCTGCATCTCCTGACGATAAAGTTATGTTCTCCCTTTACAATCAGCAACCTGGGGGGCTGTTCCTTTGGCATCGTGTGAATATCCCATATGCCAACAACCTCTCACCTAATGATGTTCTCCTCCATTTACCCATGCAGATCCAAATCAAGACTTTCACCAGGAACTGGAGAATGGTGATTTTCTAATCCCACCATTCTTCTACATTTAGTTGTGGGATTTTTTTTTTTTTTTTTCAGTAAAGAAGAGCTACTCCTCAACAACCAGGGATGAACCATAGTTCCTTCTAAAAGCATAAAGTAAATCCTTTATTTTTATTGTTTTATTTTTAATCACTACATTTCAGAGTAAAGAGCTTATATAATAACCACCTCCAATATTGTCAAAGAACTCTCACCCTTAGTCTGGATTCATGATTTTTGTTTATTCAGTGTTTTCAATGTAATTATAATTATTATTCTTTTAACAGTTTTGATGTTCAAACTGCCAAAAATTTGGACCAGTGGCAGCCCCCAGGGACTTGGCTCCTGAGTTCTCGGATGTGCTCCTGTTGGTCTTTGAGTGTCTCTTTGTCTTAGAGCACAACATGCCCCTTGCTAATACTGTCCCCTGCCCCAAATGTGGAATTAGCTATTCCTCTGATGAGCTTTCATTGCTTTGAATGGGGAATGGTATTTAGAAAACAAGATCCAGTATTAAATGTGCTAATCGCTACTGGGGTATTATTATTTCTAAACAATAATTTTTAAAAGGGTAGTATTAACTGTAGTTTAATTTTAACCATGATTATAGCTTAGCAGAGGCTTCCTTCACACCTCCCAAATGGTCTAGACTTAACTACAGTATATTTTGCTATAAAGAGAATCAAATGAAACAGACCCTTCTCCAACTGGCAATCAAGGAAATATGGTTACTTTCTGCAACTACAACTTTAACGTAAACACGGAAGAGGTAGGTGAATTTACTTAAAAGTGTTTGTCTTTCAAAAAAAAAAAAAAAAAGACTAGGTTGATCAGAAGAGGAGTTAGTAAGCCATAGCAACAAAGGAAAAGAAAGTTGATCATAGGAATGCTCACTCAGGAGAGAAGGTGGTTAGACGCAATGACTCATCCCATCTGGGTCTGGTGGTAGATACGTCCCCATGGAGGAGATAAATAAGACTGAGGCCTTAAACCATCTGATCCCATCCCATGCTCAAGCAGTATCTTTTCCTTTCTTTCTTTCTTTCTTTCTTTCTTCCTTTCTTTCTTTCCTTCTTCCTTCCAATTTAAATTTTGTTATTTAACATACAGTGCAATATTGGTTTCTGGAGTAAAATTCAATGATTCATCACTAACATACAACACCCAGTGCTCATCACAACAATTACCCTCTTTAAGACCCATCCTCCTTCTAGCCCATTCTCCAACCACCTCCCTGCATCAACCCTCATTTCGTTCTCTATCATTACGAATCACTTATGACTTGTTTCCCTCTCTCCTTTTTTTATTTCCCTCCTTCCTGTATATTCATCTGTTTTCTTTCTTAAATTCCACACGAGTGAGATCATATATATGGTACTTGTCTTCCTCTGACTTATTTCACTTAGCATAATACACTCTAACTCCATCCACATCATTGCAAATGGGAAGATTTCATTCTTTTTGATGGCTGAATAATATTCCATTGTGTATATACACCACATCTTTACCCACTCATTAGTCAATGGACAACTGGGCTCTCCCCATAGTTTGGCTATTGTTGATAATGCCGCTATAAACATTAGGGTGCACCAAGCAGTATTTTTCTGATCATGACTTGGCATCTGTATCAGCCAGCTATTATTGCACAATGCTCCATAACAATGCAAAAACCTCAGCAGCTTTCAATAACAAACGTTTGTTTCTTATTTATAGATCTTTGGGTTAGGTGTGATTGCTCTATTTTAGACTTCAGGTTGGGCTCAGATCTGTTGCGTGTGTCTCTCATTCCTGGATTCAGATGTGAAGGAGCATAGCTACTTGGGCATATTCTTCTCATTATTCAGGACAGGTATACAAGTGCAAGTCAAACCACAAAAGCATGTTTAAAGCTTTGAATTGCATGTTTTGTATAGCATGCCCATAACAGTCCCTGGCCAAGTCAGGTCACAGGGCAAAGCCCAAAGTCAGTAAGAGCAGATAAATATATTTTGCTCTCAAGCCAATCATGACAAAGGTGGAAAAAAGGGAAGAACTGTGAAAAAATAATACACACACTAAAAAAAATCATTCTATGTGGCATGTGTACAGGAAGAAATGGGGCCATCCTATTCTTCCCGATCTTGTATTTCTTACAGCAACTAATAATTTATCATACTTGTCTCTGAAAACTTGATTAATATCATCCTTTCCAGAAATGAATACATTTTGCTGGACTGACTAGTCACGATACAGGTTTCAAGGTAATTGCCAAGAGCTGCACATGGATGACCCATGCAACTAAGCCTATGGTTCATAGATAATAACACTCAAATTTGGCCAGCTGGATATTTATTTGGGGGCACAACATTCAATATCCATTCAGAAACTGGATACCTTTCACCTACTCCTCATGCCCCATCACCTCAACCATGCTCTT